TACGAGCAATTTATTCTTTCCTGGAGTTCAGAAATCATCCTCAATGCTGATGCTTCTTGGAAAAATTAAGATATAAATATCTTTGAAATGTCCAAGGCATCTGTTCTTCACTCTTATTATCATCACGAAGGATTTTGCGCCGCCTGGCACCAGTTGCACTTTGAAAGAGAAATTTGCCGCAGGAGTGATTGTTTCCTTCAAGCTGGAATGAAACCTAAGTTTGCTCATAGATCTAGATGTTTGTAATAATGTATTTATGGTCTTGGGTGCTTTACAAATTGACTACAAGAATTACAAAGTTTGACTCTCAAATGATATGTAATAAATTTTCTTTGGTAACACGTGTTTGAAGGCTTAGTGTAAACTTCGTCATTTTGATATTTTTTTATCTATACTTGTGAGGGCCAAGTGTATGGCTACGATGCCGTATATTAATATTAGCGTAGTGGGATTTTGGTAGCCGTCGGATTGGTTTCAATCCGGACCACTCGCTCCTATATATAAGCTAGGGTTTTTGGGCTAATTGATATGCACATTTCTGTATTCCCTTTCTATATTCCAGGCACTCACATTGGTGGAGGTGAGGGGCACCTTTGATTGTCCTTGAGGAGTGCTTGGATTTGGGATTTTGGTTTAAATCTAGCTTTTGCATCGTCTAGATCTAGTTTTTTCCATTTCCTTTCTTTTGTTCTTTCTTTTCAGTATTTTGGTTTAGATCTAGCTTTTTGCATTGTCTAGATCTACCATTTCTTTCCAGCTTTTTGTCATTTCTCTTCTTTTGCTCTTTCTTTTTCGTTCATCTTCATGGCCGATCCGCAATCTCCTCCTTTGACTCTAGAGCAGCAGCCTCCTGCTCTTGGTGCCAATCCTCGCGTTCGCCCGGAGTTCTTTCGTGAGAATCCTGGGGATGATGTGTACCATTGGTTTGATCACTTCACGGTGATTGCCACATATCATTCTTAGGATGATGCTCGACATTTGCGTGAGTTTCCCACGTGTCTCCAAGGGACGGCGTTGCAGTGGTACAATGGATTGAGTGCGGCCACTCGTGGGGATTGGAGTGTTCTTCCGGACGTCTTCAAACACGCCTTCGAACATGCTGACGATTGTGACGATGCCTTCCAACAATTGCATCGTCTTCGCCAAGGGTCCTCTGAGTCAGTGATGCAATTTGGCGTTCGTTTCCGAAGTCTTTTGCTTCGTGCGGAGCCTAATATGTCGGAGCGGATCAAGCTAGGAATGTTGTGGCCAGCACTTCGTCAAGATTTTGTCGGCCTTGTGCATGCACTTGCTCCTGCCACCCTTGACGATGCTCTTTGCTTGGCACAACGTTATGAGACGTCACCTCTTCCACTTCTTGCTGCACGTCCTTCAGCTCCACTTCCTATGAGTGATGGTCCTGTTCCAATGGAGGTTGATGCTGCTGCTACTCAAGTCCATGGACAAGGGCGTGGACGTGGTTGTGGCCATGATATTCGTTGCTGGGCGTGTGATGAAGTTGGTCATATTTATCAGTGTTGTCGGCACTTTCCGGATTGGCGACCTCCATTTCCTGGGTGGAGACCTTGGCGTCAGCAACGTTCTGTTGGTGCTGCTGCGGTGGAAGGTTTGGATACCGAGGTGCATCCAGGAAACGAGGAGTCGCGCAAGTAATGGAGGGACCTTGCGCAAATAAGTTAATGACCCCTCCATCTTTTTTTCAGGAGTATCATCAAGGGGTTCACTCGGCACCGGTTCATCCAGTGTTTACTTTCCAAGCTCGTTTTTATAACAAGAGGTCTCCTATTCTTCTCTCCGTGTTGGTTGATACAGGTTCGAGTTTATCTTCTATTGCTCGACCTATTGCCACACGTTGTCGTCTACACTTGTGTCGTGTGGCGGATCCAGTTTTCATTCTTTATGGCAACGGCCGTACACATGCATGTGCACGAGATGAGGCGGACCTGGTTGTGTGTGTGGGCAATCTCGAGCTTGAGTTGTAGTCGTTGCGGGTGGTGCCGAGTTAAACTTTTGACCTCATTCTTGGTATGGATTGGTTGCAGTGCAATCATGCCAAGTGTGACTTTGAGGCTTCTCCCCCTTGTCTCATCCTTCCTTATGTTTCATCCATTCCTCTCACTTCCGTACCTCTTCGTCCCTCTACTTTTACCTCTGCTTCCATGACTTTTGTTCCCCCACTATTTCCTCTTGTGTTTCCATCTTGTTCTGCTCTTCCCTTTTCCGATCCCTCTGATGATCTTTGTGTTGCAGCTGTTGACCAGCTCATGAAGGAGTATTCTGATCTCTTTGAATTTGACCTATCGTCAGGGGCCAAGATTGCCACAACCGGGGATGCTCGTCCAATCAAGGTTCCTGTTCGTCGTTGGTCACCCAAGGAGATCAAGATTTTACGTGCAAACGTCAAGGAGATGTTCATCGCCCAGGGAGTTTTATGGCTGATGCTGATGCCCTTTCTTGAAGTCCTCTTCCTTCTCCACTTTCTTATCATATTTCTGATGAGCCTGTTGTTCCAACATCTGTGGATTTTCTAGACGAGGATTCAGTGCCGTCAGCGGTTGTTGTACTTGATGTTTAGTGTCCACAAGGCGCATAGCAAGATCTACCTTCTCTTGATGAGGTTCGCGAGGCTCAAAAGATTGAGCCGTGGATTCGAAGGCTTCATGATGCGTTTGAGGATCCTGCATCACTTGTGGATGACTTGCCTTTCCGGCATTTACATTCTCAATATCGCCTTGAAGATGGCCTTCTTTATTTTGTGGGGACGGATCCTGATGATCATTTACTGCCTTCTATCTTTATTCCACGGTTTCTCCATGCTTACCATGATTCTCTTGTTCTAGGTGGGCATATGGGATATCGTCGTGTGACTAAGAAGTTGTGTAGGTCTTTCTATTGGCCAGAAATGCGACATGATGTTATCCGGTATATGCGTAGCTGTGTTTGGGGCCAAGCTTGTAATACTCCCCCTTGTGCTGTGGAAGGACGGTTGGAGTCAATTGCAATTTCCCGTCCATTTGAGTTGGTGGCGTTTGATCTTATGGGACCTTTTCCACAGTCGACTACTGGCAATGAGTATGTTATTATTGCTTCTGACTACTTGACTCGTTAGGTGGAAGTTGGTGCTCTTGCTAGCGCCTCTGCAACTGCTGTTGGATACTTTCTCCTCAATCGAGTGGTGTTCCAACATTCTTGTCCAGAGCGGATTCTTTCGGATAATGGTCTTGCATTTATATGGCTGAGGTATTTCATGTTTTGATGTCTCGGTTGGGGATACGCCACACTTTTACGAGTGCTTATCATCCACAATCAGATGGTCTGGTGGAACGGCTCGTTCGGACGTTCAAAGGGATGATTGCGAAGTATGTGAACTTTCAACATTCGGATTGGGATGGTTATTTGCCGTCTCTTCGGTATGCCTATGTCACAGGGGTGCAGAGTTCTGTTGGTGCTTCACCATATAAACTTCTATATGGTCATGATCCAATATTACCAACGGAGCTGGGTTTACCTTCACGATTGCCACGAGCTCCTGATGCTAGGTCATAGGATCACTATTTGACGAGCATTCTTCCACTTGTCCAAGCAGAGTCTGCCGAACACTTAGGCCGCGTACAAGTGGGACAACAATGGCACTACAACTCCTATCACCGTCCACCTGCAGAGTACAAAGTGGATGATTTGGTGTTAGTCCGTTTTCCCCATCTTACAGTACGTGGTTTATCTAAGGGGCTCCTTGCACAGTGGAAAGGACCATATCAGGTGTTGCGGCAAGTTGGACCTCAAGTTTATGAGGTTCGGTATGACGTCCAGCGGGCCGATCCTCTGGAGATTGTGCATGTGCAGCGGTTGAAACGCTTCATACAAAGGGATCAGGAGCAGTTAATGCCGTCTACAGATCCGCCGATGCCTCCTCTTGACGTTCTTCTCCTCTAGATCCCGGCCCATCTACAAGAGAACCCTGATAGCCTTCCATTATTCCGAGAGGAGGGGATGATGTGAGGGCCAAGTGTACGGCTACGATGCCGTATACTAATATTAGCGTAGTGGGATTTTGGTAGCCGTTGGATTGGTTTCAATCCGGACCACTCGCTCCTATATATAAGCTAGGGTTTTTGGGCTAATTGATATGCATATTTCTGTATTCCCTTTCCATATTCCAGGCACTCACATACTGATATATCTTCTCTAAATCTCTTTAGAATTTTTTAGCAGCATAAACCTTTTTATGGCTTTCTCAAAACCCAATTTTAAGTCTATATCATTTTCATTTGGGCATATACTTACAATTTTACATAGCTTTAATAAGTTTTCTGTAATTGTTTTTTCTGTGATATTGTACCACTTGTGTGTAGCTTCCCACTTGTATAATTTTGTATTGTATATCAAGTGTGAATGTGTTAATCATGTCTGCCATTTTTTATAGGAATTCATCTATATAAAAACTTCTTAAAACTTCATGAAACTTCCAGGGGTATTTTTGTAGTTTTCAATCTTTTGAGGGTAAAATTATTTTCGGGTGCCAAGGTGTGAATATTCAGTATCAAGAATATGGACAAAATTTTAAATTCTAATCTGTATGCAAAAGTCAGCATTATGGCAGACTTAAATGACTCCTCAACTTTACTTATACAGATAAGATAGAAAGGTTTGATCTATTATCATGTTGATCTTGTTGTTGGTGACCCTATTAAGTAGCATCCCTCACTCGAGCCCTCAAATAATTGTTGATCCAGGCATAGGAGGGAGAATACGTCGTGAATACTTTCCAATCATCATAGGCAGCCTTGCCAGCTTGGTGACGAACATCCACCAACACATGACGACACCCTTAGATGCTACCAACTTATCTTTGCATTTCAGAACCTCCTACATATAATGTTGAACAACTTGTATGCAACAGGAGCAAACTATATTACAATCATTAATGGAAGATTTGGGATGGAGTATGTGCTTGACGAGGCAACCCAACAAGACTCACGTCAGAGCTCTATGCTTGGGTCATGCTTCCCAAGAAGGTAGATTCTTTCAGGATCTCGACTCGATCGATCATACATTCTTTCTCCTCAGGTGGACTATCGAGGAACCCTAAACCTCGTGGAAGCGTGCCGCAAGAATGGGATCAAGAGATTCGTGCTCGTAAGCTCCATTCTCGTGAATGGCTATTGTCTCTATCCCCAGCGATGAGCGCCGATCTAGTGTCAAAGCTGCGCGCGGCGCTTCTCCATCACCAGGTTCGTCTCGATCCAGTGCCGCAGCGCCAGCACGTCGAGGATCCCAACGATCCCACGCTCGCTTACATTTCCCGGATGCTTCTGGACGAGGAGGAGGAGCCGCCGCAGATGATCCAGCTCCAGGATGCCTACAAGAATCTCATCGCGGAGCTTGCCGCGCTGGTGTCTTCGCCCGGCGGCAGTGGGAATCTCATCCATCCAGACGATTCTGGAAATATTTCGGTGCCAGACGTCCACGAATCCAGGACGGGGTTCCTGAAATCGATGCTCCTGGAAGCGGCTCGAGCGGTGGCGGGGAATCGTGGCTCCGAGGTCTACAGGATCATCAGCGAGGTGAGGAGCCTGGCATCGCCAGAGGGCAGCAGTGAAGAACGCACGGCCTTGTTCTTCGCGGATGCCCTGATTGCGCGCTTCACAGGGTTTGGGTCGCAGGTCTACAGCGCCATGGTGAAAGGGATTCGCGAGAGGCACTCGGTCCACGTCCGGATGCTCAATCTCCCATCCTTCAGGGTCACCCAGCGATTTGCCAACGGCACCATTCTAGACTTTTGCCAAGGAGGTACGAGAATTCACATCATCGACTATGGGATCCACTATGGCTGCCAGTGGCCCCAGCTCATCCAGAGGCTCTCGCAGCGGCCAGAGGGACCGCCGGCGATGAAGATCACAGGGATCGACTTTCCTCGCGTGGACGTCAAGGAGACAGAGAGAAACCTCGTGGAGTATGCCAAGAGCTGTGGAATCTCGCTCGAGTTTGAGGCGATCACGAGCACGTCCTGGGAATTGGTCCAGCCCAAGACTCACGTGAATGACTTGCTCATCGTCAACTGCAACCTCCGCATCCGGCATTTGCGAGAAGATGGCAGCGTCGGCGACAATCCGCGAAAGCTCTTCTTCGAGAAGGTCTACACCCTCAAGCCGGACCTGTTCATACAGTGCGTGGTGGATGCCGGCTCCAACTTGAGCTCCCCTTTCTTCATCCAACGTTTCGAGGGGGCTCTCGAGAGTTTCTTCATGACGATGGACCTGTTTCAGACTCTGCTGCAAGAGGAGATGTCGGAGGAGTACGATTACATAGGGAACATCATGGCAAAGACGATCATGAACGTGGTGGCTATGGAGGGCGTTGAAAGGTTGGAGCGGCCAAATTCTTACAGGAGCTGGGATTCGAGGGCTAGACGAGCTGGATTTGAGCAGGAACCAGTTAGGCCGAAAGCGGTGGAGCTGGTTAAGGCAGCGTGGTGCAGCAGTAAGCCCAATTGCAACTTCAAGATGGGGATGGATGGGAACTGGTTGCTACTCGGATGGAAAGAGAGGGTCCTCTATGCGATGAGCACCTGGAGGCCGCAGAACAAGCAAGCGGGCTAAACTGCGGTAAGTTTCTCATTTGTTCCTTCTTTAAAGTTGTTTCTATTCTAGTGTATATTAACGCTGACTAGTGCAGCATCAGGGATTCTCTGATGAAGAGTGATCTAAAATCCCTGGAAGAGTGGAGCTCGGCTCGATGGAAGAAGACCGAGTCCAGTCCAGATTCTCTTGAAATGCAAACGGGAATATGTAAAAATGATTGGTCAGGTTAGTAAATCTCAGTGTCAAACGCCTTTGAAGGAAAGGTACTGCTTGATAGTGAACCCTGTCCAAAGAGTATTCACTTTTTTCTAGTGCCATACGAAGAGAAACGCAGTCAGACAGTGAAGTATGAAAGTGAAAAATAGCTCTAAGAAATAATTGCATTTGGCTCACTCATTCCTTGAGTAAATCTTCTATCTGTCATTATCACACCAGAAGGTAGTTCATGGGGTGGCACCCCATACATAATTAGATTCATGGCCTTGGTCAGTAGAGCAGGAGTGTCTATCCAAGAATGGAGGGAGGTTTCTCAATTTGCCTTTACAAGTGTCAGGATCAAATGAGATTTACCATAGTCACAGAACAAGCAGTTTGAGTAAGTAATGTTCTTTTTCTTGAGCAATAGGTTTAGTGAAGTGTTATCTGGTGTTAATGATAGTTCTTGATTCTTCATCAGGAGAGGGATCTAGAACATGATTTTATTTATAAGTTCTTTAATTTTAAATGTTGTTAAAGATGTTGTTTGTCCATCATATGCACTTCCTCCTAGAATTGTAAAATATAATTATGAATTTATAAGTCATAATAGTGATTTTATAAAAGATTTTATTTGTATGGATGACAATATGGAAATACTAATAATGAATTGTAAGATATGATAACTCAATTACTTGATGATAATATCCAATAATCACATGCACTACGAAGGAAATACACATGGGTGTGCAATATATATAATTTCAATTAAGACTATATCTTGCTCAAGGGTATATTATATTTTAAATAGTTATTAATCAATAAGAATTAAAATCATGTCATTTATTTTGATATTATATATAATGCACTATATCTCTTTCCCCTGAATCCAAATAGAAAAGGGGTAACTTTTTAATGAAAAAACCCTTAATAACTATTTATCTTTATTTATCCTTTGAGGTTCCAAAGATCCACAGTGATAGTATATTTAAATCTTATTTTATGATCACATATGTTGCAATATAAACACCTAAATTACCAAGGAAATAATGTTTAATATCATAAAAACATTATATAAAGCCCAAGGGCATAAATTCATAAAGAATAATAGATAATAGGTATTATTTAAAGTTAAAAATTATTAAAAGGTAAAACCAGAGGAAGCTATCCAAAATGGATAATGCCAAAAGGATTTTAATACAAATATATGGGGCCTATGAATAATAATCATGATGTGTTGAATTATAAATTGTGTATATCTAAATTGAAAACCCACTCTTTAAGTCATTGAGTAAATTTATCCTTAAAACACATATTAAGACATGGAGGGTCAACACTAATGGCCCATTTCATTAAATATATAGTCAAATATTTTGAAACATTAAACAATTTATAGTCCAATTGTGAGCCACCATATGTTTATATTTATCTTTATTTAATTTTTTTCTTCTCATTTGACTTTTTTTGTGCTTGTTTCACTTCATTTGAATTTTTTTGTTGTTTGAATTCATTTGGGGGTCAAAGCATGAAAGGGTGGGCCAGAAAATAGATATTTTCTAGTAGTTTACAGTGAATATAAATTTTAATTTTTCTATTAGATCCTTTATGATTTTTTAAAATATAAATAAATGTGGAATGTAATGTTGCATATATCTACTTCAAAAAAAATTAAAAATCGTTTTTTAAAATTTAAGTTTTGGCTGAACATCCTAAAAAGTCTTTTTTATGATCTCACCCTTGACTTAGTTTTAAAACTTGGTTTTAGCTTGATTTATGAATTGCACACTATAGATGATTATTGACCATTTTGCAAATACACATGAATGCATAGATGCCAAGATGTGTCTTCCATTCATATATGATCATGTGGTGAGTCAAATAGATAGTGTTGACAAGCCATCAAGAATCAACATTGATGTAGTTTTTGAAAGTATAGCTACTTACCTATGTAGTGTATATGATATTAAAGGCTACTCAGTGATTCCAAAAGGTAAAGTGGTTGAAATAGCTTTGATTGCTTGTGAAGTGGAAGAATTGAATGGGAGATCAAAGAAGATTTTGAATTAAATGTAAATCCTCCTCAATTAACTCCTCTTAAGCAAGAGCTTGTTAGAGAAGATGCATAAAGCATTTGGGTTATTTAGTTTCTCTTGTGATTTTCTTAACTTTGATACAAAATTATCACCACATTTTGAGTACATGCTATATGATGCAAGCCAACAACAACCACCTCATAACTCTATGCCATATATGATATGATGATATGAATACCATACTAATAAATCTTGGGTCATGCTTCTTATACACCAATACTCCTAATAACCAAGGATCTAATAAACTAGAGGATTTATAAAAAATTAAGGGAAAATTACAATTTTTTACCTGAAAGATTGAAAATGTATGGGTAATTTAAAACTTTCAAATATATCTACAAAATGTGGTCTGCACTTTTCAAATAGAATAATGTTGAAAGTCATCTATTTTTCTTTCTTGTACCTTAAATCTCATTTAATTTGGACCCATGTTATTTCATGAAGAAATCTAGAGCCCCAAAGCAGAGCCAGATCTTTCATTGACAGAAGAAATCGTTTGCTGACATATCCAGGAACCTTGGGCATTATGGCACCGAAGCACTGGGAACATGCTAGGGTTGAAGAATTCAGTGGATCCAAAATGCGCACTCTTAAGCTCACTAAACCATTGCCGAAGAACTCATATGAAGAGTTGTCCAAATCATTGGGGGATGGACTTAAGCTGTGATACCTTCACCAGAGGAAGCTTTCTGAGATCGGAGATAGATTTTGTTTGGCATTTCAATGATCTTAGAGTGTATTTCGGTATTAAGACCAGACGCATAGCATTTTATTCCACCACATAATATTTGAAAGGACACCAGTGTGACCACTGGCAATGGAGCTTGCTACGCTTCACTTTCGGGGGCTTAAACTAGTGCCACCACTTTGAGTACAAGGTCTCCCAGTGCACCGGAAGTAGAAAAGGACGGAAGCTGCACAACACAATTCTTGCACTCATCGCTGACAGACAGCTTATTATTGCCAGTGTATGGACAATCAAAGTGTATAGTGGCAACTTTGAAGCCCTTTGTATAGATGTCAAATCCACCTGTAGTCCCAGATGGAGAACCTTGCCTTCCACATGCAGCAAATGGCGGGTTGGGAGAGGTTGCTCCAGCAGCAATGGTTATCCCACCTGGTGCACTGCCATCATTGTTCTTATTTGGGTACTTATACCACTTTCCATATGATAAGAAGGAGTTTTTCACTTCTAAGGTGTCTCGTCCCAGGTTTGTGATCTTGAAGGATACCCACTGAGGATATCCCTCCCAACTTTCCATCTGCATTACACATGTATTTGTAAGCCCAGCAATTAAACTTGAGTTACGAACCGGTGACTTGAAAGATAGAAACCGAGTCCTCTTCTCCAGCCGAAGCAGCAGAAGCTAAGCTCCTAATGGATATGCAAAGCAATGCTAGAAGGAAAGAAGAACTCGACATGATTTCTTGCAAATTTGGATTTGGGCTTGCAAATTTATACTCCCTAAATATCACTTTTTAAACGTTCAACAATGGTTATGGAATCTAAAACAAAGCACAAAGTTCTAAAACTTGAACCATTTTTAAACAGGTTAGTGCCTCCTACTCAAAAGGTTTAGACTAAGGAGCAGTATGTGGCATAATTGTCAGTCTCACGTGAAAGATTGCGACGTATAGCGACGTTTAGCTTTCCAACACTAGAGTATAATTATCATAGGAGAAAATTGAAAAGATCGATCGTCACATATTTCAGCTGAATTCTTCCGTGAAATGGTCGTTGTTTAAGAAATGCAGTACCAACGGGAGCAAGAGTTCACGGCGAGATCCTCCAATTTTGCAGCAAAACCAGGAATCTGTCGCGTGCAAAAGAGATTTACGAATTCGGGGGGAGTGACGATTGTGCAGCAAGCAGCTGCACAATCCATCCATGAATTTGGATGGATCCATGCACATTCATGAAATTGGAAATCCAGATGTTTGGAAGATGTGGGAGCTTGCAAGAAGCAAGAGAGAGATCGCATGGGATCTGCAAGGAATCGTTTCTTGTGGAACAACATGATTGCTGCGCAGGATATGCCAAAACGGCTATCGGGAGTGAAGGAATTGCTATGGGAGACAAGAACATTGTAGCCTGGAATCAGGTCAAAGATATTGAAAAGGAAAGATAATTTGATGCAATGCCGGATAAGTTTAGTGGACTACGATTCTTACAGCATATGCCCGGTGTGGGTATTTGATAAAAGCGAAGCTAATCTGTGATTCGATAACATGTTTTCCTGGAATTCAACGAGGCCTTTTCGAACGAATTCCCGAGCACGCCTCATGACGTGGAATTGGCTATCTTTTAAATGCCAAAGCCGAGAGAGTTGTTTCCTCCATCGTCAGAGCATATGCCCGGAGCGGGCATACGACCAGAGCCAAGCGGATGTTCGCTGCCTTCTCGGGAAGAAAGATCTCATCGCCTGAACACGGCCTTGTCGCATTGCCAGGATCACGGCAGAGACACCATCAACGTGGCGTTTGATCCCGAGCATTCGGCGTTTGTGAGCGTTCTTGGTGCTTGCGGCCAGCTTGGGCTGTTCTAGTGGGGATGGAGCTACTTTCGAAACATGCCCAATGATCACCGCCAAGTGGATCTCTGCACTTGATCTGGTCAACTAGCTGCCGAGGATCTCATATCCAGCGATTTATTCTTTCCTGGAGTTCAGAAATCATCCTCAATGCTGATGCTTCTTGGAAAAATTAAGATATAAATATCTTTGAAATGTCCAAGGCATCTGTTCTTCACTCTTATTATCATCACGATTGCGCCGCCTGGCACCAGTCGCACTTTGAAAGAGAAATTTGCCGCAGGAGTGATTGTTTCCTTCAAGCTGGAATGAAACCTAAGTTTGCTCATAGATCTAGATGTTTGTAATAATGTATGTATGGTATGTTTGATCTTGGGTACTTTACAAGTTGACTACATTTTGATATTTTCTTATCTATACTAATATATCTTCTCTAAATCTCTTTAGAATTTTTGAGCAGCATAAACCTTTTTATACAGGGTTTTCTCAAAACCCAATTTTAGGTCTATATAATTTTCATTTGGGCAATTTACATAGCTTTTGAGTGCGTTTAATAAGTTTTCTCAAAAAAAAAATTCTATGATATTGTACCACTTGTGTCTAGCTTCCCACAGTTGTATAGTTTTATATTGTATATTGCAAGTGTGAATGTGTTAATCATGTCTGCCATTTCTTATAGGAATTCATCTATATAAAAACTTCTTAAAACTTCATGAAACTTCCAGGGGTATTTTTGTCTGTTTCAATCTTTTGAGGGTAAAATTATTTTCACGTACCGAGGTGTGAATATTCAGTATCAAGAATATGGACAAAATTTAAAATTCTAATCTGTATGCAAAAGTCAATATTATGGCGGACTTAAACGACTCCTCAACTTTACTTATACAGATAAGATAGAAAGGTTTGATCTATTATCATGTTGATCTTGTTGTTGGTGACCCTATTAAGTAGCATCCCTCACTCGAGCCCTCAAATAATTGTTGATCCAGGCATAGGAGGGAGAATACGTCGTGAATACTTTCCAATCATCATAGGCGGCCTTGCCAGCTTGGTGACGAACATCCCAGGCGGCCCAGTCTCACCTGGTATATTTGCTACGGTTGTTTTAGTTGGCAGCCAGCAGTGCCTCCTCCGTGTCTCCTTTTACAGCAACACCTGTGATGCCACACCAACACATGACGACACGCTTAGACGCTACCAACTTATCTTTGCATTTCAGAACCTCCTACATATAATGTTGAACAACTTGTATGCAACAGGAGCAAACTATATTACAATCATTAATGGAAGATTTGGGATGGAGTATGTGCTTGACGAGGCAACTCAGCAAGACTCACATCAGAGCTCTATGCTATACGATCTTGGGTCATGCTTCCCATATGTCAACATGATCCAGAGTGGGCCAAAGTCACGAGTCTACTCAAGGGTCAATGCTGGGTCAAAGTTGGAGTCTCAAAATGGGTGGTACTCAATGGAGGTGCGGTATGGGTGTGACATGGTGGTCAAAAAGGCAAGTGGTGTCTTGTGGAAAACAGATGTGAGAGAAAGTAGCCAAACTGGCTGCTACTTTGCATTGCAAATGGATGGGAATGGTGTGCTTGAGAATGAGAGTGTTTGTGTTTGGGCAACAAATACTATGGAAGGCGGATTGATTTCATCAATATTAGTGATGCAGAATGATGGCAATCTAGTGTTGTACAAAACTGACACACAGAAAGTAGTGTGGGCATCTAATACAAATAATAATAAATAATATATACTATATATCACTATACTCTTTGTTAAGTAGCATTTTCCTTGACTAGTTCTTGTTTGAAGAGTATTCACACTTAGTTTGAATTCTTCTTTGATCTCTTCAAAAGGACCAGCATTCAGTTCTTCCATTACATCAATAGTTAGAGCCCTTGTCTCAACCACCTTACCTCTAGACATGCTCAGCATTGCTTTGATGTTGTAGGTAAACATATGGCATTAATTTTGTCTAGGTCTACTGAAGCTTGCAATGTCATCATCCCGTCCATACACATGTAGGGGCATACATCATGAAAGCATTGCACATTTAGTCACGCCTTATAAAAATCAATATCAACTCTAATTTACTTTCCTTTCCAATAATTTTATTGGTATCATAAGATGCTTATTTGTCTTCTTTAGTAAATCCAAATTCAGGCTTATAGATAGAAACAACTTTGCTTGACTCCATTTTAACAACTGGTTAAGGTAATTAATTTATTGGAGTGAATCATTTAGCTGGTGGAGCCCAATATTACTTAAAAACCTTCAACATCCATGAAATAAAGCCAATGAGTAAACACTACGATCACACCAAACAGCCTTTTCCCTGATTGTCATAGAAAGCAAAACTTGGAGACTGCACTGTCCTCTCGTCCCAATCCATCCTTCTGCAAGCCGTATTCAAAGTAGTTGACTCCGTCAGAAAGATCAAGGCAGATACCCCAAGATAACAACGAGCACACGCAATCGACTTTGAGAACGCGGCAGCAAGAACCTCTCGGAAGTGATCTGGTTCCGGATCGCGGGAGTCATGGGCGGAGAATCTAGCAGCCGTGTTCTTGACCAAAAGCTGAACTTTGGAGTGATCCTGCGGCGTCGTGGGATCGTTGTCACTGTCCCTGGTCTTGGTGAGAGCTCCGAGAGGGCATTGTCCGACAACGCGGAGCTCTTCATCGTCTCTATGCTCGAGCAAGCCGCAGAAGAGCACAAAGTTGGCAACCACCGCAAGTGGAGATTGTTTCCGCTGCAGCCCTTGTAGCTCCAATCTCCGTGTCTACTTTAAATCACAGACAGCGTCATCTATGCTAGAAAAGGAACTTTGGAAAAGCTGACCAGAGTTTCTACTTGCTCGTCCTCCAGGCGCTCATCGCAAAGACGATACTCTCCTTCCATCCGAGCAGCAGCCAGTGCCCATCCACGCCCAGCTTGAAGTTGTTGTTTAGCTTGCTGCTGCTGCACCACACGTCCTTCACCACCTCGATCGTTTCCGGTCGAACCGGCAGCAGCTCAAATCCAGCTCTTCTAGCCCTCGAGTCCCAGCTCCTGTAAGAATTTGCCCGCTCAATCCTTTCAACGCCCTCCAGAGCCACCACGTCCATGATCACCTTTGCAATGATGTTCCCCATGAAATCATACTCCTCCGGCATGTCCTCTTGCAGGAGCAGCGTCTCGAACAGCTCCATCCTCGTGAAAAGCGTATCGAGCGCCCCCTCGAAACGTTGGATGAAGAAAGGAGAGCTCAAGTTGGAGGTGGCATCCAACACGCACTGTATGAACAGGTCCGGTTTGAGGCTGTAAACTCTTTCGAAGAAGAGCTTCCGCGGATTGTTCCCGACGCTGCCATCTTCTCGCAAATGCCGGAGGCGGAGGTTGCAATTCACGATGAGCAAGTCCTCGACGTGCGTCTTGGGCTGGACCAATTCCCAGGACGTGCTCGTGATCGCGTCGAAGTCGAGCGAGACTCCACAGCTCTTGGCAAACTCGACGAGGTTTCTCCCCGTCTCCTTGACGTCCACGCGAGGAAGGTCGATCCCGGTGATCTTCATCGCCGGGGGGCCTTGCGGGCGCTGCGAGAGCGCCTTGATGACGTGAGGCCACTGGCAGCCATACTGGATCCCATAGTCGACGATGTGAATTCTCTTCGCGTCCTGGCAAACGTTGAAGATGTTGCAAGCGGCAAATCGCTGGGTGACCCTGAAGGATGGGAGATTGAGCAGCCGGACGTGGACAGAGTGCCTCTCTCGGATCCCCTTCACCATGGCACTGTATACCTGTGGCCCAAACCCTGTGAAGCGCGCAATCAGGGCATCCGCGAAGAACAAGGCCGTGCGTTCTTCACTGCTGCCCCCTGGCGATGCCAGGCTCCTCACCTCGCTGATGATCCTGTAGACGTCGGCGCCGTGATTCCCAGCCACTGCTCGAGCCGCCTCCAGGAGCATCGATTTGAAGAGATTCGTCCTGGATTCTTGGAAACCTTGACCGTCGAGTGGCGGCGGCGGCGGCGGCGGCGGCGGCGGCAGCAGCGAAATGTTTCGACGCTTGGAATCCCCACGGCCCGCCGAGACCAGGGCGCCGAGCTCCGCGATGAGATTCTTATAGGGATCCTGGAGCTGGATCATCAGCGGCGGCTCCTCCTCGTCGTCCAGGAGCATCCGGGAAATGTAGGCGAGCGTGGGATCGTTGGGATCCTCGACGTGCTGGCGCTGCGGCACTGGATCGAGACGAACCTGGTGGTGGAGGAGCACGGCGCGCAGCTTGGAGACGAGGTCGGCGCCCATCGCGAAGCTCGCGAAAGCTTCTCGCGAGGAAAGAAGACGTGATTCGCTTGATATGCCCTGCCTGATGATATGTGTTGCATTTTTATAAGTTTTTTATTAAGGGTCAGTACGCTAACATTTCTCTTTCGTTATTGTTTTATCCAGAAATATCTATAGATTAACAAACGTATTATGAAATAAACCTAGACAATAGCAGCAGCATTTTCGTTGAGAAGCTCTTGCTAGCGAGCATTTTCATCTCGTATGGAGGACCAACGCTTGGTTCTCCTCACCACCATCAGGCAGAACCAGCGACTGTGATCGATGCCATCGATACGAATCACCACCTGATCATACGTAAATGGAACACGAATCTTCGCCTGGGTGCATTCAATCGCTATCTGCGCCTGTAGATGCGATCAGTAGCACTAACAATCAGATGAATCACTGAAGCTGCATATACCACTTTGTGCGCGGGAATGGTGACTTGATACTCCGATTGCCTTTTAGACGTCAATGCCTTGTGGTGGTGACGCTCTCCGTCATGGTGGCCACCACAGCCATGCGCGGCCACCACCGCTGCGAGAAGATAGCGCACTCCAAAGATGGACTGGTGAATCCTGGTGAATCGCAGCCTCTTTGACTATGAAATGGGCATCAGATCATCATCTGTAGTTGAAGCTTTGAGTACATTCTCCCTTCTGGTGTAGTAGCGATTTGTAGAAATCGTGCAGGCCTGATGCTGCTGCTCAGTTTGATCGGGGCAAAACATGATCTTGAGTTTTGTTCATGCGCGGCTAAGGTGCCATTGCTAGCCCAATGCTGAAGATGGATTCTCCATGGCCAATAGTGCTCCACTTTGTGAACTTATACTGGGATTTTGTACGGAGAGACGATGATTCAAGCCAACTTGAAGGGTGTGTTGAAGGTGTAGTTTTGACAATGAACATCTCTAGCGTTTGGAACGTGTTGCTCGTCCTTGCTTTCAAGAGAGTGACAAGCAAGTTTAGAGCTGGATAGAAAGTTTAGCATTCGAGCTTAGCAATAAGATCGATTTACAACAGCAAGTACGGAGGAAATTGTACATAAAATTGAAGTGTCAAACCTCATTTTCTTGATTTTCTTTTCAATTTTTTTTTTCCAGAGAAAAAGGTTGTTCTAGTTTCCACAGACAATACGGCTGTGACCAGTCAAACAAAAGCCACTAGGCCTAGTTATATAGAGACGAACCAGCATGATATTTCAAAGTGTTAATCAGGAGATGATGTTAATATTTGTCAACTTTTAGTCTCAAGGTTTTTAATGATACTTCCAGAAGCATGGTTTGATCGTGAAGGAAGCTTCTTGCTTTTGCGAGCGACGCAACCGTCAGATTTTGGAATCCTTGATTCTAATCGTACGACTGTGGCTCGGCGGAGATGCCTTTTAAGCCGGCATTTTCGGACATGGCGATCGCAGTGGTGGAGAGCGAGCTAGGGTTTTGGAGCGCGACACCGACCAAATGGCGTGGGGGAGCGCACTCTGGAGGCGCGTCAAGGTGTTCCGGGTAGCATTGCAGGTCTTCTTGGATTACAGGGTGCGTATCTCTTGCTTTTCGAGAGCTTGCGATTGATCCACCGGTCGAAAATTTCCAGGCCGCGCGCAAGAAGGCCGCTGGATTGCCCAAGGAGGATCAGAACCTGCTGTGGGATCGCATCCATCACAGGAATGCCGAGCGCATTTTGGCGGCGATCACCGAATTGGAGGGACTGTGGGTGAAATTTGGGCAGTATTTATCCACTCGAGCGGATGTTCTTCCGGAAGCTTACATCTCCATGTTTCGCCAGCTCCAAGACTCACTACCTCCTCGTCCCATTGCCGAGGCAACTTGCTTTCCTCATTTTTTATTTTTTTTTGTTCTCTCTTTATTGATCCTTCTCTTTCGCCAGGTATCCGCTACTATAGAAAAGCAACTGGGAAAACCATTGGACGAGCTGTTCTCAGAGTTCGACCGGAAGCCTTTAGCTACTGCCTCGGTCAGTTTCTTTCGCCTTCGATTCTTTTTTCTTGTCTTAGAACTCAAGCTAACGTATTGCTTTTTCAACACAGATAGCGCAAGTTCATCGGGCGCGCATGAAGGACGGCCGTGATGTTGTAGTGAAAGTCCAACATCAAGGCATTAAGGAGTGCGTTTTACAGGTTCTACATTTTAACACCTTTTAGAGGTATTTGTAGCGTAGAGACTTAATTCTCATGCCAGCCATTGATCGGGATTCGCTTGTCCAGGACTTGTACAATGCACGAGTGATTGTTGAGTGGGTCGCATGGGCGGAGCCTGATTACGATTTCGGCCCTGTTCTAGACGAATGGTGCAGAGAAGTTCCCCAAGAGTTGAATTTCAACCAGGAAGCGGGTATGGACATTTCCATGCATTCTTTGTTTTTATTTACTTCTACTTTCTTCTTCTCCAGAAAACACTAAGAAAGTAGCACACAACCTCAAATCATGGACCAAAGACGGTACCATCAGTATCGATCCTGTTGATGTGCTTCTACCTGAAGTCGTTCAGGTTCATGTTAAGCTTCTTGAAAACCAAGCTGCTGTAACTCGAGTTTTGTTGTTTGTTGTTAACAGTCAGCCGAGAAAGTCCTGATTCTCACGTACATGGATGGAGTTCGTATAAATGATGTGGCTGGCCTTGATAGACTAGGCGTGGACAAGCAAGCTGCTGTCGAAACTATCACCCGGGCATACGCTCACCAGATTTATATCGACGGATTTTTTAATGCCGATCCTCATCCTGGTGAGTGGACTGAAACTAATTCCTGAAATGCTAACATCTTTTCGTGAACAGGGAATTTTCTAATAAGTACTCAACCACCTTTCCGACCAATTTTACTTGACTTCGGGCTCACAAAGTCCATCTCAATGCCTTTTAGGCAGTCACTGGCGAAGATGCTTCTTGCTGCTGCCGAGGTACGTCGAAAACAAAACAATGCGTGCTAACACTGCTTTGTGTAGGGAGATTATTCTGCTTTGTTGTCCGCATTTTCTGAGATGGGGCTTGTTCTGAAGCTGGACATGCCAGAAGAGGCGATGGAAATCACCAACTTTTTTTTCCGTCGTTCTTTGCCGGCTGAGGAATCTGTGGTAAGGTTGTTTTACGTATTTGGACTTTGAGAACATTGAAACTTGACAGGCCGAAATGAAAGAGCTCGTCAAAGATAACGATAAGCGCATCCAACGTTTAAAATCCAGGCTAGACAGTAAAGAGACTCTTCGTACTCCAGTAAGTGGTCATGTTTCGAAGATTTAAAGACCAATTTCCGTGACGCTTTCAGGTTTCTGCTTTCCCAACTGACGCTGTGTTTTTCATGCGAGTCCTAGGCCTACTAAGAGGTAAAGCTCTTGTGACTTTCAGAAAGAGTAGAGATTCATTAGGATGTTGCAGGACTCTCTTCGGTACTCGGTGCGAGAGTGGTTTATCTTGAGATCATGAAGCCATACGCAGAAGCAGTACTATATAGGTTTGTACTGTTTCTATTTGCTATAGTCTGACACGAAATTAATTGCAGTGGTGGTCGCTCTAATAGTGGGAACGAACTACCAATTTTTGATAGTCCATTGCATTCTCAGGCTGAGGTCAAGCTCCATCAACTTTTACGTGAGATGCACAAGCAACAACGGATACTTGGTGTTCAAGTAAGTTTTTTCTATACCAGTTTTAGTTTAGAACAATGTTTTCCAGGTTTGTGCGTACAAGGATGGGAAAGTTATCGTCGATACAGCGGCTGGTTACCTTGGAAAGTATGATCCTCGCCCGGTGCGTTGTGACAGTTTGTTTCCGGTGTTCTCCGCCACAAAAGGAGTTACGGCGGCCTTGTTACACTGGCTTGCAGATCACGGGTGAGATTTTTGCGGTTATGCCACTAAGGCTGACATCATTTGTACTTCGTTTCCTAGAAAACTATCGCTGGCGGAAAAGATTTCCAGCATCTGGCCCGAGTTTGCGGAGAATCACAAGGACGCTTGCACAGTAACATTAAATCTTAGATTTTCCTTGTGAGTCTCATTTTCTGTATGACAGGTTGCACATGCCTTGAACCATACCTGTGGCCTACAAAATGCGCTGTATGATGTGCTAAGGAAGAATCCTCTGGCTATGTGCGATTGGAGTGAGATGCTAAAGCTCATTGCAGCCGCCAAACCAGAATCACCCCCTGGCCAAGATCAAAAGTACCACGCTCTTTCGTTTGGATGGATATGCGGTGGGATAGCTGAGGTACAACGTTTCTTTGACAGGCCTCGTGCAGTTTTACATTTCTTTTTCTTTACTTGCAGAAAGCCACCGGGAAAACGTTCCAACAACTTATCGAAGAAGCGTTTGTTACACCGCTGAATGTTACTGGCGAGTTTTACGTCGGCATTCCTCCTGGTACAGTCCAGACATTCTCAAGTCTATGACATGCGTTATAAAACAAGCGTTTCTTACTGGCAGGCGTGGAGGAGCGCCTCGCATCGCTCACTATGGATCCCGAGGAGCTCAAGAACATACCCGCGGCATCCGCTGCTGCTCTAAGAACGCATCTCTCGACGCTGGAAGTAGGGACGACTAGCGATGGCGTCGGACCGGCGTCACTCGAAGACTTCCTGACAAACGGATCGCCTCTGTCCGTGAGCTCGCTGCCAAGCCTTTTCAACATGCTCTTCATCAGGCGGGCAACCATCCCAGCTGCAAACGGCCACTTCTCGGCCCGGGCACTGGCGCGCTTCTACGCGACGCTTGCAAGTGGTGGACGCGTCCCCCCCGGCACGTCCTCGTCCAAGCCACCTCTCGGCAGCCACGCTCATCGACCGCCCCTGGGAGGATCCTCGAGCACAGCCAAGAGGAAAAAGGGATCCCGGATAACAGGAAAAAATTGCTGCAAGACGAGGAGCTTGTCATCGGACTTGAGTGGGGGCCAGATCCACTTCCAGGAAGAGCAAGACGCACCGGCAAAGATCTTCACCAGTGGTGACATCCACGACGCGTTTGTAGGGGGCGGGAAGTACAGCGGCCTGGTTACTAGAGACAGCGAGAAGTTTGGGCTTGGGTTCTGGAAGCTCAAGACTGGTGATACTAGCGCAGGCGCAGGGAAGAAGAAGATGGCATTTGGACACTCTGGGATTGGGGGCTCGTTTGGCTACTGCGACCCCGACAACGATTTCGCGATGGTGATCACGGTGAACAAGATGACGCTCGGGCAAGTGTCGGGTGATATCGTACGGCTCGTCTGCTCGGAGATCGGGATCCCATGTCCACTGGCGATGGAGAGGCCTTCCCAGTGATAGATGGTCCATGTATCAATTGGATCATATAGTAGAAACCTTAAACGTTGCATGGGAAGTAAATCGAGTCAACTTATAAAACGAAAACAAGTCTTGGCCTTAGGGTGGTCAATGCTGATCTATCATGAAAACAACTTCCTCAAATACTTGTCCTCTATAGCCATTCACCACGCCTCTTCAGCCCTTGACTAGAAAACCACCATCGCTCCAATTAATTTGTGGTCAAGAATAATTTTTAGAAATATTTTTAGGTTTTAACCCCTAAACCTTAGGGCCACAAATAACTGGCAGTTATTTGGATTTTGCATGAAAAACAAGCAGGCGGGCATGGACGAGGAGTTCCCTATAGAGGACTTGTTCAATGTTGGAACTCCAATGAGATGGGCCACATTTCACCAAACTGTCCACATCCCAAGAAACAGATTGGGTACCAGCCCATATGTGGAATCTATCAAACAGGGCTTGCATGTAAGCTCAAGCCAAGCAAGGGAAAAGGGGTCATAGAAAGCAATGCAATTTTTGTCCAGCAAGCTGCACTAGAATCTAGAGTTATGACATGGGCATGGAAGTGTCAACAGATGGAGAACTCTATAATTGATGATGCTGAGGAGGAGGATGACCTAGAGGAAATCACCAGAAAGAACTGCAAGGAGAAAAGAGAGAGCAAACAGCCCAGATCAGATCCACCAGCTACAAATGACCAAGATAAACCAATTCCTGATCCTGAAAGAACTACCTCAACTAGGGCTAGGGAGTCGCGAAGGCACTACGCAAGAAGTGAAAACGAGTGTTGAATCTGGAAACGCAACCATGCAATATTCTTCAAGACTTGGATAGTCAACGCCCGAACATCACATTCGCCCAGCTCTTGCAATTGGCTCCAGGCATGAGGAAAGTGTTGGTTGTGGCCATGAAGGGACATCGAGAAGTACTGGTTAATTCAGCTTGGCCCCTTATCACAGATCTCAGTTCCCCTTGTATAGACATGGAGATGCAAGGCGAGCTGATATGTCACGCTGTGATCGATAATGGAAGTGGGGTGAATATTTTGCCTGAGGAGACATGGCAAAAATTCAATCTTCAAGAACCAGTTCCAGTGCCGTTTATGGTTAAAATGGCCGACCAGAGATGTGTCCAACCAAAAGGAATTGTGACTGGTGTTCGCACTCAGATTGCTGATTTAGTTTTCCACATCGATTTTGTGGTCTTGAAGATGAAGGAGGGCATGTTGGGCTATCCACTGCTGCTCGGATGTCCTTGGCTTCTACAGGCGGCAGCTGTGCATAATTGGCATACAAGAATTCTTGCCATTGGCGATGGCAATAATCGTGTTAAAGTCCAAGTACTTGGGGCGAGTACTTGGGGCAGAACAGGAGGATGAAGACAGCTCTGATACATCCAATTCTAGCAGCCAAATAAGTAGTGAGGACGATGAGGAGGGTAGCGGCAGCACAGCCAATTGTGAGGAGCTAGAAATGGTGGATGTGGCTGTTGTTGCCAAGAATTCCTGGGGTAAGCCTCTTTCAGCATGCAACACTGAGGAGCTTGAGTGTTGGCTGTGGGGAAAGGATGGAGAGTTGCCTTTCAGCAGCATACAGGTGGTGGAAGAAGAGACTGGTGCTAGACAGTGGTGAGGACGAAGCCCTTTCCCTTGCTACATAGCTACGGTGCTTCACGAGAAGTGGATAGATGGCATTTTGAATCCTAATGTGAGGAACAATTTTTTGAGCGAGGAACTAGTTGCCACTTGCCAGCTCGAAGCTATTCCAGTGGAGCAGCCGTGCTGGGCTATGCGAGCAAGAGAGTTGAAGCAAATCATATATAGAGTTCCAGGTTTAACGATCAAGATACCAGAATTTCCAGTTGACTTGGATTTTCTGGTGGCACCTTGGAAAATGGACAACTATATCCTGCTGGGACAAGATTTCTTTAAGGTGGCAAGAGTGTCTCATCAGTGGAACAATCTGCTTCACTTGTGGATTCCAAATCCACATGGCAGTGACAGAGTGCAGATCGGCATGGAAGAAGGGGATGAGCCCAACGAGCAAGTTTTTATCACGGTGTTGGGATCAAGAGCTGAAAATCAAGCTATGCCAATGCCAATGGTGTTCCAGACAATGGATAGTTCTAAGGCCTGGATGGGAGGAACCAAAGTGATGCATCTCACAACATTTTTGGAGAATGTGGAACTCACAACAATGGTGGATCTAAGAGCACTTGGAAACTTTTTGACAAAAGATGGAGCAGCTCGAGCAGGCTTGGCAATTACAACTCTTCCTAAGCATTACATTGTCGTCTATGCCGATAGTGGAGTTTTTCCAGTGTTGGGTCTCATGAGTTCCAATGTGGTGATTGGTGATGGAGACTTTCACGAGGTGCCTTTTTATGTGATCGAGGGCACTGTGACCAGCGTGGCTTTTCTAGGTGCGGGCTAGTCATGACTATGTGATTGGTACTCTGGTGGTGGAAGATGATAATCATCGATCTTGGATAATCATCTTGTCTGATATCAATTGTTTGACTATTACTTTTCTTACATGCTGAATATCTAGAAGGCTTCAAGGTTAAAAAGCAAGGAAGTGGCAGCATGCAAGGATCGTAATATGCTCAAGTCATCACCAACTCAACCAATTCAGATAAGGGATGGACCTCAAGAGCTAGCTGGTCGTCAATTTTCCGTGGACGTGGTGCTAACAGCTGAGTTGGAAGCAGGAAATTATCCCAGCTATTTTTTTAAGGAGCAGGTTGCTGATCTTCCACTTAAGGAGACTTCCGCTCGTTCTCAAGTGGATTCAGATTATTTTGGAAAGGCACACCAGGCACAAGCTGTGTTTATGGAGCAGGTTGGTGACAAGCGACATGAGTTAATGGTGGGACACCAACTCACCAAGGAGGTGGAAGATTATCGTCAACTATTTTTGGAGTTTCGAGATGTGTTTGCATGGAGCTATGCTGAACTCGCTGGAGTAGATCCAGAGCTGGTGCAACATAGGATTCCCTTGCTTCCATATGCAGTGCCACAACAACAAAGAGCTTATAAAATGAATCCAAGCTATGCTAAGGCTGTGCATGAAGAGCTTCAGAAGCTATTAGATGCAGGATTTATTGAAGAGGTGGAGACTACAGATTGGCTTTCGCCAATCGTAGTGGTCCGGAAGAAGAATGGTAAGCTTAGAGTGTGCGTGGATTATCGTCGCCTTAATGCTGCAACAAGGCGGGATGGATTTCCTCTTCCCTTCACAGATGTGGTGTTGGATGGGGTCGTAGGGAAAGTTTTATGGATGGTTATAATGGATATAACCAGATCCAAGTGGCTCCTGAGGATCAAGCAAAGATGGCATTCGTTACAGAGTGGGACAGCACTCTGTCTGGAGTGGGACAGCACAGAGTTTGGTATTTCTCTTAATCCTGGGAAGTGCCAATTCAGAGTAACACATGGTGTGTTGCTTGGTAGGGTCGTCTTGGCTCGAGGCTTGGAGGTAGATCCTGCAAAAGTGAACGTAGTGGAGGAGCTTGAGGCACCACAGACCGTGAAGGAGCTACAAGCTTTTCTCGGCCATGTTGGTTATCACCGACGCTTTATCTGGCATTATGTCGATGTAGCTTTTCCTTTGACAGGCCTCTTGAAAAAGAACATTCCTTTTGCGTGGACCCCTGAGTGCCAAGCTTCCTTTATACAGTTGAATTGAACCTTGACGACCGCTCCAATTCTTAAGCCGCTAGACTGGAATTTGAAATTCCATGTGCATGTTGACACCTCAACTTTTGCTATTGGTGTTGTTTTATGCCAGCCAGTTAATGGTTGGGATCAACCCATCTTTTATTCGAGTAGGCAGTTATCTCTGGTTGAGAAGAATTATACAGCCACTGAACACGAGGGCTTGGGAATGGTGTTTGCTGTTTCCAAATATTGCCACTATCTGTTGGGAAAGCCATTTCTCTTCTATCTAGATCACCAGACGCTACACTATCTTGTCAACAAGCCCTGTTGACATGGCTGAATCACTTGCTAGTTGCTTCTGCTTCAAGAATTCGAATTCAAGATCGTGTTGAAGCCGGGAAAATCTCATGTGATGCCTGATCATCTTTCGAGATTACCAGAAGAACCCACCAGGGAAGGAGTTTATGATGAGCTGCTCATGCTCCTCTTTTCTTATTGGAGGGCGGGTAGGTTTCTGCAGAAATTCCAGATGCATTCTCAACTCAATCAGAAGCAGAGGAGCTGCTGTTATACCAAGTTGTAGTAGCTATGTTGGAGTGGTATCAGGGTATCGCAGAATTTCTTGCTGCTGGCAGATTTCTTGATGATATGCCAAACATGGCACAGAAAAAGCTTCTATACCAGTCACAAGCTTTCACCCTGATTGCTAGCCAACTTTATAGGGAGGGAAGAGATGGTGTTTTGATGTGCTGTATTCTTCCTCATGAGGTGCAGTAGGTGATTGGCTCTTGCCATGATTCTCCCTACAGTGGGCATTATGCAACAGCAACAACTATACGGCTTGTGCTCCAAACTGGTTATTGGTGGCCAATGCTTCAGTAGGATGTGGCAAAGTTTGTGAGAAGTTGTGATCCATGCTAGCGTGTTGGGCGTCCTACTCGATGAGATGCAATGCTGTTACATCTGATTATTCCAACTCTACCTTTTGAGAAGTGGGGAACTGACTTCATGGGGCTGTTCAAGCCTACGTGACATCACTAGGATCATTATATCTTGATCTGCACGGATTATGTGACCAAGTGGGTGGAAGCTGAGGCTTTTACTGAGGATATGGCCAAGAAGGTAGCAAGATTCCTCTACAAAAATATCATCATGCGCTTCGACTGCCCACTTGAGCTTGTGAGTGATCAAGGTATGCATTTTATTAATGCGGTTATTATAGCTCTCATAGCCAAGTATGGCATTTCCCATCAACGTTCAACACCATATCATCCAAGAGCAAACAACCAAGTTGAGAGAACCAATATGACACTATGCAACACCATGACTAAACTTTGCAACACAAGTGCTAGCAACTGGGATACCAAGCTTCTTGATGCACTATGGGCTTACAGGGTTGCCTACAAGGTAACTACACAGTTCTCACCATTCCAATTGGTTTATGGCCAGGAGGCAATCCTTCCTCTTGAGTTGGAATTTCCTTCTTTACGGACAGCAGTAGCTCACAATTATGACTAGGATGGAGCTGTTCAGCAGTGACTGGAGCAATTGGAGAAGCTAAATGAGACTCACCTCCTTGCTTTCCAAGCTTGTGAAGCTTTCCAACATGAACACAAGTGGTATGACCATCATTTATGAGCTAAGAGTTTTCAAGAAGGAGATCTCATATTGTTGTATAAGAGCAAGTACTAGAAGCTTCCAGGAAAGCTTAAAATCTGCTGAATTGGGCCTTATCACGTGAAGGTTATGAATATTAATGGCTCAGTCAAGCTGGAGGATTTTGCTAGTAATCCTTTGCCCACACTTGTGAACGGAGCTTGACTACAGCACTATCAAGTTTCATTTGGAGAGGAGTGTTCTGAGGACTGAGCACAATTGTTGCCCGGGTGATGTTCGAGGGCTAGAGCCAGCTCAAGAATAAGACTTGGTCAAAGTCAAGGGTTTTTTCCTTCTTTTCTTGGTTATAGTGGGGGAATAAGGGAATATTCAGCTAGAAATAGGGTGTGTCTAATTTCTGGATATAACATGTGTGTAAAAGGAAGGGAGTGAAATAAAAGAGAAGGTTCTTGGAAGGATGCTTCGTCCAACAGCCTTGGAGCGCATGGAGCGGAGGTTGGTGGTGCAGCAGTGACTACAGTTCTTTGAGGAGTGCATCACAGCGAGAATCACTCAAGATCAACCAATATGTGTGAGTTGTCTGACTTATGGGTAGCCCTGGGTTAGGATGTTGGCAAAGGTTCTAGTAGAGGTCACCAACGAGGCTAGAGACGAGGCTAGGCAGATGTGATTCTCCACGTCGCTGGTGTGCCATCGCAAGGAGCAACAATACACTCCTGCCGCTGCAGGACACTGTGCTTGAGGGGAGGATGACAGTTGCGCTGGATCTGGACACGTCAATTCTGCTGCACCAGCGGAGCCAATGTGATTTCAAGGTGAGAGATAATTGCAGTCGCAAGTGCATCAAGAAGCAACTGCATCTCGACGAGTTCCTGGACGCCCTGGCGCTGTTTGCCAAGGTTGTGCTCTTCAGCTCAGCCCCCTATGCAGCTTGCGTTGTCAAGCAGCTGGATCCTCGCGGGACTCACTTCCAGTACGTTCTTGGCCTGAGTGATTGCATGCTGTGGCACGACACCCGCCTCGGCAAGGAGGCGCTGTTCAAGGATCTGGCCATCCTCGGCAGGGACTTGCACAAGGTTGTGCTGGTGGACGACGACCCTGGCTTCTTTTGCCAACCTGGGAGTGGCAACGAGATTGTGATTGGGAAGTTCACTGGGCAGAGGAGCGATGACGAGCTTCTCAAGCTACTTCCTGTGTTGCAGTCTCTGGCACAGCTCGACGACGTGAGACCTGCTGTGCGCACTTATCAGCAGCCTCAAGCACAAGGTAATAATAGTTCACTTGTTCTCGATCTAAAAGCTTCAATGGTGTTGGTTTTCTACGTAGTTGTGAGAGGTCAAGGCCTGAAGAGGACGTTGCGAATGACTACAGAGGACAAGTATTCGAGGAAGTTGTTTTCATGTTAAGGTTTGGTGAAGTTGACGATAAGACTTGTATTCGTTTATAAGTTGACTCAATGCGACGTGGGGTTTCTTATTTGATCCATTTGATGCAGAAGGAAACAAACCCGGAAGTGGGTATATCCAAAAGGTGGCAGCAAGAGACATCATGACCATCGTCGCGTGTGAAGGGCTGGATCGAACGGACACGTATCGCATCTGGGATGCTCGGGTGAAGCGAGCAGGCTTCGAAGGGGTGGCAGTGACGGAGGAGATTTACGAGAAAGTGAGTGGCGCCTGCGCGAGCAGGAACAAGGAAGTTAAAGAAAGAATGTAGCTGGTTACAGGCACAGGGTGGATGACTGGTGTTTGAAGCGCGCTAGCTTCTCAATCGGCTTCCAGACGCTCAAAGCATTCAAAACTACGTCTTTCTCGTCCATTCAAGCAAGTCAAGTTCTCGCAAAACGACTGTGATCAGGAAAACAAAAGCCACTAGGCCTAGTTATATAGAGACGAACCAGCATGATATTTCAAAGTGTTAATCAGGTAACTGGCGGTTATTTGGATTTTGCATGAAAAACAATGTTTGCACTTAACAATTAGTGGTGTAAAAATAATGTGCAATCACATCATGTTTTTATTTCATATATTTCACATTTTTTTCCAGGCTAGTATTTGAGAGTCAAGGTCTTTAATATACTTCCGAGAAGCATGGTTTGATCGTGAAGGATTGCGAGCGACGCAACCGTCAGATTTTGGAATCCTTGATTCTAATCGTACGACTGTGGCTCGGCGGAGCTGCCTTTTAAGCCGTGGTGGAGAGAGCGAGCTAGGATTTTGGAGCGCGACACCGACCAAATGGCGTGGGGGAGCGCTCTGTGGAGGCGCGTCAAGGTGTTCCGGGTAGCATTGCAGGTCTTCTTGGATTACAGGGTGCGTATCTCTTGCTTTTCGAGAGCTTGCGAGTGATCCACCGGTCGAAAATTTCCAGGCCGCACGCAAGGAGGCCGTTGGATTGCCCAAGGAGGATCAGAACCTGCTGTGGGATCGCATCCATCACAGGAATGCCGAGCGCATTTTGGCGGCGATCACCGAATTGGAGGGACTGTGGGTGAAATTTGGGCAGTATTTATCCACTCGAGCGGATGTTCTTCCGGAAGCTTACATCTCCATGTTTCGCCAGCTCCAGGACTCCGTATTACAGGTTCTACATTTTAACACCTTTTAGAGGTATTTGTAGCGTAGAGACTTAATTCTCATGCCAGCCATTGATCGGGATTCGCTTGTCCAGGACTTGTACAATGCACGAGTGATTGTTGAGTGGGTCGCATGGGCGGAGCCTGATTACGATTTCGGCCCTGTTCTAGACGAATGGTGCAGAGAAGTTCCCCAAGAGTTGAATTTCAACCAGGAAGCGGGTATGAACATTTCCATGCATGCTTTGTTTTTCATTTCCTTCAACTACTTCTACTTTTCTGCTTCTCCAGAAAACACCAAGAAAGTAGCACACAACCTCAAATCATGGACCAAAGACGGTACCATCAGTATCGATCCTGTTGATGTGCTTCTACCTGAAGTCGTTAACCAAGCTGCTGTAACTCGAGTTTTGTTGTTTGTTGTTAACAGTCAGCCGAGAAAGTCTTGATTCTCACGTACATGGATGGAGTTCGCATAAATGATGTGGCTGGCCTTGATAGACTAGGCGTGGACAAGCAAGCTGCTGTCGAAACTATCACCCGGGCATACGCTCACCAGATATATATCGACGGATTTTTTAATGCCGATCCTCATCCTGGCGAGTGAACTGAAACTAATTCCTAAAATGCTAACATCTTTTCGTGAACAGGGAATTTTCTAATAAGTACTCAACCACCTTTCCGACCAATTTTACTTCACTTCGGGCTCACAAAGTCCATTTCATTGCCTTTTAGGCAGTCACTGGCGAAGATGCTTCTTGCTGCTGCCGAGGTACGTCGAAAACAAAACAATGTGTGCTAACACTGCTTTGTGTAGGGAGATTATTCTGCTTTGTTGTCCGCATTTTCGGAGATGGGGCTTGTTCTGAAGCTGGACATGCCAGAAGAGGCGATGGAAATCACCAACTTTTTTTTCCGTCGTTCCTTGCCGGCTGAGGAATCTGTGGTAAGGTTGTTTTGTTCTTCCGCATTATCTGCTAGAGGTCCATGGTCTCTGCCATTCTTCCAACCTTCCCGTAGAGATCGATCATGGCACTGTACGTAACTCTGTCAAAAGAAACCCCGGTTTCACAAAGCCGGTGGAACCAGGCCATGGCATCCTTAGCTCAACCGCAACACTTGGAACAGCTAACAAAGATGCTGAAGTTGTCCACTCCCTTATATTAAACCCTTGTTTTTAGTAAAGAACTTTACCACTGTGTTCTAATATACATCCACCCATACCAAGTATACATCCCCTCTTGCGGACTTTCCCTTTGTCTTTTATCTCTGTAGCAAAATAAACTAGTCCACCAAATCTCCTCCTTTTCAATTCTCAATTATATTGTTTAAAGACTTTTTAATCTTAATTAAAAATTTTATTTTACATTAGTGGAAAATGCTCTCTCCAAAACTACCACTATAGAACAAGGTTGTGGGGAATGGGTTTTCGGTGCAATTAGTAGGGACAACAATCTATATGCATTGTGGTGTCTTAATTTGGACGATGACAGCTTATCTAATCCTATGACAGCGTACAACTGATGAATGTTATAGCTGTGATACCTGCTATGCTTAGTCACTCGGAGGGAAATATAAACATCTATTCTACTACATTCGACATAAAGATAACAGCTATTACAAATGGACAGCGATCTATGCTTGCAATTGCGAGCCGCTTTGCTGCGCCATCAAATCCCTCTCGAGCCAGTCCAGGCTCAAATCTCTTCCCAGCAGCATCACTCCCTCTTTGATCGCTCGCGGCTCGACTATCTCACCAGAATTCTGGAAGAAAACGATGAGGAGCTCCTCCTCCAGCTGCCACAACAACAGCAAACCTCTTACCAGGTACTGCTCCGCGAGCTCACGGAATGTCTCTCCCCCAATTCTTGTGCTAGCAGTTCCTTGTCAATGGACACCGCCTCTCCTCCTCATTTTCCCTCGCGCACCTCCACCGTCTCCTTCCACAGCTTGCTCATGGACTGCGCCCGAGCCGTAGCTGCCAACAATTCCACCAAAGTCAATGAGCTCGTGAGAGAGATCAGAACTTTAGCCTCACATCAGTCGCGTCCGGTGGAGAAGGCCGCGCTCTACTTCACCAACGCGCTCGTCGCGAGGCTGGCCGGGTGTGGAGCTCGGATGTACGCCGCGATGCACCAGAACGTGACGAGGATGCAGAGTATCTCCATCCGGATGAATCTTCCCAGCCTCCGGGCCACGGAGCGCTTCGCCAACCAGATGATCCTCGATGCCTGCCGTGGTGCCAAGCGTGTCCATATCGTCGACTATGGGATCCTCTACGGCGACCAGTGGCCATCGCTCATCAAGGCGCTGTCCGAGAGAGCCGAGGGGCCGCCACTGTTCAAGATCACAGGCATTGACTTCCCGTCCCTTGTCAACCTCGAGAAAACTGGAAACCGGCTGGTCGACTACGCAGAGTCGTGTGGGATGCACCTCGAGTTCCACTCCATCGCCACCGCGGCGTGGGAGTCAGCGCAGCCGCGATACCATCTCTTCAGCGAGCTTCTCTTCGTCAACTGCCAGCTGAGGATGCGGCACATCCGCGAGGACGGGATCATCGACAGCCCCCGGAAGCTCTTCTTCGAGAAGATCCTCAGCTTCAAGCCTGTTATGTTTTTCCAGTCCGTGGTGCACGCTGACATCGGCTCTCCGTTTTTCATCCACCGCTTCGACGGGGCCTGGAGGAGCTTCCTGGCGAGGCTGGAGTCGTTCGAGGAGACGATGAAGCTCGGATTGATCGACCAGTCGCAGCTCGACTTCATGGATAAGTTCATCGAGAAGTGCGCCATGGGTGTCATTGCCTGTGACGGGCAGAACCGTGTGGAGCGTATCTCCTCGTACAAAACCTGGGATCGCCTGGCTCGGAAAGGCCAGTTCGGACAGCTTCCAGTCAGCAAACGAGCGCTCGAGATGGTCATGTCCGTTTGGAGCGGACACGAGAACTTCACGTACGGAATGGACGAGAACTGGCTGCTGCTTGGCTGGAAAGACGCAGTCTTGAATGCTTTGAGCGTCTGGGAGCCCATTGAGAAGCTACCGCGCTTCAAACACCAGTGATCCACCCTGTACCTACATTCTTTCTCTAACTTCTTTGTTCCTGATCGTGTCCTTCCTGTAAGGAGACTATTTAAATGTCTTCAAAGAACACTCAAGAGGCACTTACCTTGTCACGGAAGTTCTCAAGTCCATCGCTATAGAACCTGAAACATACCAGCCACTTGTAGGACACGCTTTGGTCGTCAAGCACTCATCACGTAGAGCACTGTGTCCTTCCACCCCAGCAACATCCAGTTTCCATCTCTTCCGAAGCCGAAGTACGGGTTCCTGAAATTTCCACAAGCGCTCCTCTTCTCGCTTTGCCCGAGCATCCCAGACGCGATACGAGGCCGCTCTCTCCACTCGATCGAGCCCTTCGCACGCGACGATGTTCATGATATCTCTTGCGGCCACCTTTTGGATAAATCCGTGCTCTTCCGGCTTTCCTTCTGCCACCGCTTCAAAGTACTCGCTCGGGCAAGTGTCAGGTGACTCGTCTGCTCGGAGATCGGGATCCCATGTCCACTGGCGATGGACCAGTGATAGATGGTCCAGTGGATCAAATAGTAGAAGCCCTAAATGTTGCATGGGAAGTAAATCGAATCAACTTATAAAACGAAAACAAGTCTTGGCCTTACGGTGGTCAATGCTGATCTATCATGAAACTCGAACCTCTATAGCCATTCGCCACGCCTCTTCAGCCCGTTGGTCAAGAATAATTTTTAGAAATACTTCTAGGTTTTTAACCCCTAAACCTTGGCCACAAATAACTGGCGGATTTTGCATGCTATAATCCCTCCAAAAGCTAACATCATTGCCATACCTACAAAATCAAATGTCATGTATGCAGCGCTGCTTCATGTGGGAATCCAGATCCTAAAAGCCTTTTTAATCTAAGTGAAGCTTGCCTGCTTTAAAAACCTAAAAGAATAGTCTTGGCACATCTATGGGAGGACCTGAATTAGACGGAACGCTCTCGAGCTAAGCAACCAGGAGCAGCGCCGGTGGCTGCTTGAAAACTCTGCCATCATTGATTACTCAGGCTGACTCAGGGAACTGCTAGAATGCAAGACCTACGGAATGGCACCACTTTGTGCGCGGGAATGGTGACTTGATACTCCGATTGCCTTTTAGACGTTAATGTCTTGTGTGAAGCTCCGGGGGCTTGTGATGGTGACGCTCTCCGTGCGTGCGAGGCTGACGGTCATGGTGGCCACCACAGCCATGCGCGACCACCACCACTGCGAGAAGATAGCGCACTCCAAAGATGGACTGGTGACTATGAAATGGGCATCAGGTCATCTGTAGTTGTAGCTTTGAATACATTCTCCCTTCTGGTGTACTGGCGATTTGTAGAAATGGCAGGCCTGATGCTGCTCCTCAGTTTGATCGGGGCGAATCATGATCTTGAGTTTTGTTCATGCGCAGCGAAGGTGCCATTGCTAGCCCAGTGCTGAAGATAGATTCTCCATGGCCAATAGTCCTCCACTTTGCCAACTTATACTGGGATTTTGTATGGAGAGACGATGATTCAAGCCAACTTGAAGGGTGTGTTGAAGGGGTAGTTTTGACAATAAACATCTCTAACGTTTGGAACGGTGACAAGCAAGTTTAGATCTGGATAGAAAGTTTAGCATTCGAGCGTAGCAATAAGATCGATTTACAACAGCAAGTACGGAGGAAATTGTAAATAAAATTGAAGTGTCAACCTCATTTTCTTGATTTTCTTTTCATTTTTTCAATTTTTTTTTTCACAGAAAAAGGTTGTTCTAGTTTCCACAGACAATACGACTGTGACCAGTAAAACAAAAGCCACTAGGCCTAGGTATATAGAGACGAACCAACATGATATTTCAAAGTGTTAATCAGGTAACTGGCGGTTATTTGGATTTTGCATGAAAAACAATGTTTGCACTTAACAATTGGTGGTGTAAAAATAATGTGCAATCACATCATGTTTTTATTTCATATATTTCACATTTTCCAGGCTAGTATTTGTCAACTTTTAGAGTCAAGGTCTTTAATGATACTTCCAAGAAGCATGGTTGCTTTTGCGAGCGACGGAACCGTCAGATTTTGGAATCGTTGATTCTAATCGTACGACTGTGGCTCGGCGGAGCGGCCTTTTAAGCCGGCATTTTCGGACATGGCGATCGCAGTGGTGGAGAGCGAGCTAGGGTTTTGGAGCGCGACACCGACCAAATGGCGTGGGGGAGCGCTCTCTGGAGGCGCGTCAAGGTGTTCCGGGTAGCATTGCAGGTCTTCTTGGATTACAGGGTGCGTATCTCTTGCTTTTCGAGAGCTTGCGAGTGATCCACCGGTCGAAAATTTCCAGGCCGCGCGCAAGAAGGCCGCTGGATTGCCCAAGGAGGATCAGAACCTGCTGTGGGATCGCATCCACCACAGGAATGCCGAGCGCATTTTGGCGGCGATCACCGAATTGGAGGGACTGTGGGTGAAATTTGGGCAGTATTTATCCACTCGAGCGGATGTTCTTCCGGAAGCTTACATCTCCATGTTTCGCCAGCTCCAAGACTCACTACCTCCTCGTCCCATTGCCGAGGCAACTTGCTTTCCTCATTTTTTATTTTTTTTGTTCTCTCTTTTATTGATCCTTCTCTTTCGCCAGGTATCCGCTACTATAGAAAAGCAACTGGGAAAACCACTGGACGAGCTGTTCTTAGAGTTCGACCGGAAGCCTTTCGCTACTGCCTCAGTCAGTTTCTTTCGCCTTCGATTCTTTTTTCTTGTCTTGGAACTCAAGCTAACGTATTGCTTTTTCAACACAGATAGCGCAAGTTCATCGGGCGCGCATGAAGGACGGCCGTGATGTTGTAGTGAAAGTCCAACATCAAGGCATTAAGGAGTGCGTTTTACAGGTTCTACATTTTAACACCTTTTAGAGGTATTTGTAGCGTAGAGACTTAATTCTCATGCCAGCCATTGATCGGGATTCGCTTGTCCAGGACTTGTACAATGCACGAGTGATTGTTGAGTGGGTCGCATGGGCGGAGCCTGATTACGATTTCGGCCCTGTTCTGGACGAATGGTGCAGAGAAGTTCCCCAAGAGTTGAATTTCAACCAGGAAGCGGGTACGGACATTTCCATGCATTCTTTGTTTTTTATTTCCTTCATCTACTTCTACTTTTCTTCTTCTCCAGAAAACACCAAGAAAGTAGCACACAACCTCAAATCATGGACCAAAGACGGTACCATCAATATTGATTTTGTTGATGTGCTTCTACCTGAAGTTGTTCAGGTTCATGTCAAGCTTCTTGAAATCCAAGCTGCTGTAACTCGAGTTTTGTTGTTTGTTGTTAACAGTCAGCCGAGAAAGTCCTGATTCTCACGTACATGGATGGAGTTCACATAAATGATGTGGCTGGCCTTGATAGACTAGGCGTGGACAAGCAAGCTGCTGTCGAAACTATCACCCGGGCATACGCTCACCAGATATACATCGACGGATTTTTTAATGCCGATCCTCATCCTGGCGAGTGAACTGAAACTAATTCCTAAAATGCTAACATCTTTTCGTGAACAGGGAATTTTCTAATAAGTACTCAACCACCTTTCCGACCAATTTTACTTGACTTCGGGCTCACAAAGTCCATCTCATTGCCTTTTAGGCAGTCACTGGCGAAGATGCTTCTTGCTGCTGCCGAGGTACGTCGAAAACAAAACAATGCGTGCTAATACTGCTTTGTGTAGGGAGATTATTCTGCTTTGTTGTCCGCATTTTCTGAGATGGGGCTTGTTCTGAAGCTGGACATGCCAGAAGAGGCGATGGAAATCACCAACTTTTTTTTCCGTCGTTCTTTCCCGGCTGAGGAATCTGTGGTAAGGTTGTTTTACGTATTTGGACTTTGAGAACATTGAAACTTGACAGGCCGAAATGAAAGAGCTCGTCAAAGATAACGATAAGCGCATCCAACGTTTAAAATCCAGGATGGACAGTAAAGAGGCTCTTCGTACTCCAGTAAGTGGTCATGTTTCGAATATTGAAAGACCAATTTCCGTGACGCTTTCAGGTTTCTGCTTTCCCAACTGACGCTGTGTTTTTCATGCGAGTCCTAGGCCTACTAAGGGGTAAAGCTCTTGTGACTTTCAGAAAGAGTGGAGAGTCATTAGGATGTTGCAGGACTCTCTTCGGTACTCGGTGCGAGAGTGGTTTATCTTGAGATCATGAAGCCATACGCAGAAGCAGTACTATATAGGTTTGTACTGTTTCTATTTGCTGTAGTTTGACACGAAATTAATTGCAGTGGCGGTCGCTCTAATGGTGGGAACGAACTACCAATTTTTGATAGTCCATTGCATTCTCAGGCTGAGGTCAAGCTCCATCAACTTTTACGTGAGATGCACAAGCAACAACGGATACTTGGTGTTCAAGTAAGTTTTTTCTATACCAGTTTTAGTTTAGAACAATGTTTTCCAGGTTTGTGCGTACAAGGATGGAAAAGTTATCGTCGATACAGCGGCTGGTTACCTTGGAAAGTATGATCCTCGCCCGGTGCGTTGTGACAGTTTGTTTCTGGTGTTCTCCGCCACAAAAGGAGTTACGGCGGCCTTGTTACACTGGCTTGCAGATCACGGGTGAGATTTTTGCGGTTATGCCACTAAGGCTGACATCATTTGTACTTCGTTTCCTAGAAAACTATCGCTGGCGGAAAAGATTTCCAGCATCTGGCCCGAGTTTGCGGAGAATCACAAGGACGCTTGCACAGTAACATTAAATCTTAGATTTTCCTTGTGAGTCTCATTTTCTGTATGACAGGTTGCACATGCCTTGAACCATACCTGTGGCCTACAAAATGCGCTGTATGATGTGCTAAGCAAGAATCCTCTGGCTATGTGCGATTGGAGTGAGATGCTAAAGCTCATTGCAGCCGCCAAACCAGAATCACCCCCTGGCCAAGATCAAATGTACCATGGTCGTTCTTTTGGATGGATATGCGGTGGGATAGCTGAGGTACGACGTTTCTTTGACAGGCCTCGTGCAGTTTTACATTTCTTTTTC